GTGGTGGTGCATGCCTTTAATCCCAGTACTTGGGAGGCAGAGGCAGGTGGGTCTCTGTGAGTTCGAGGCCAGCCTGGTCTACAGAGCTAGTTCCAGGACAGGCTCCAAAGCTACAGAAAAACCCTGTATCAAAAAAAAAAAAAAATTCCAAGCAAACTCTAAACAATCACCATAAAATAAGTTGCAACAACTACTTTAGAATGAATGTCATTCTAGGCTTTTTTGTTCATTGTTAGCACAGTGGGAAAGGTCTTTTTTCCACATTTACTGGGACTAGAAATACATGGTCAAGAGGAGAAACCATTCCCAACCATATGTGTCAAAACCTTCAAATGTTATATTTTGTTGTGTCCAAGACTGGTTGTTTATAATTATACATGGAGGAAATCATTAGGAATGAACAAAAATTTCGCTGATAGTGAAAACTGTGATGAAACAGGACTTAGAATAAATTATAATTTGCCACTGAGATGATTCCCTAGGAATACATTTAATGACATGACTCATGACATTCAGTGGGACAGGCCAATGACAGCAGAAGAACCCCATTTTGGTGTGTATAAAAAGGCTTGGGAGGCCGTATACCCGTATGTTATTATTATTGACTATCTCTAGGAGTTGAAATTATGAAGAAGTTTTCCCCTGTTTTATTGCTTCTGAACTCCATTGTTTAAAGAATGTGTACTAGTTGTATGCTTGTAAAGGAAACAAAAATGGAAATATTAACAGACATTATCTCTATATCCAGTGTTTTAAAATTTTTCCTACAGTAAACCCTGTCCTGTTTTGTATCTATTCCCTTCGCCCCTCAGGGAAGATGACCTCTTTGAATTCTAAGTCAACTGTGTGGTTCCTGAGTTATCTACTGAGCCTGAATGTTTAATAATGGCCAGGAGATGATGCCAGAGAAAGCACAGTCCCTGCTTCTAGTTCAGGGGCTGTGAGTTTGTAAAATGGTGCAGATATTTCAACACTGAATTGAATGCAAGCTTCAGGGTTAATTAGCAATGCTTCAAATTACAGACTACCGCTACTTTTTGTGCAACTAACCGTTAATTAGCTATGCAAATGAGAAAGTAGGACATGATTACAGGAGATAAAAAACACATCAGTGGGGGAAAGAGAAAAAGACTTCATTTTCGGCCTGAATTTCAGCCACTGATTGCTAAAACAAAACTGAGCAGAAAGAGGTAAAGTATACTTCCCCCCACCCCGAAGCTGAGGTGCTAATAAAACAGCATTACTTAGATGTTTGCTTTCTCTTGAGACAAATGGACACATCTGAAAAGTCCTATCAAAATATAATAACAAAATGACCAACATGTAAAGAACAGAAAACTAGGGGTAAAAGTGTGCTCAGTGATTGCAATGCAATCTCCAGGGGAGGTTTTAAAGGCCACTTAAAGTTTGCCCTCTAAACCAGCTAGTCTGGAGTCTCCGTGGGAGGAGCTGAGCCAAACAATGAACAAAGTGCTTCTTCTCCAGCTGGGAGTATTTGCTTTCAGGTAAAGCCTCTGATTAGATAAAGCCAGGAAAAGAAACCTAGTATCTTTCACTCTTCCCCTAATAGTTCCCCCTGCTGAGATCTGGGTGATTATCTCAGAAGAAAACTCTACAGGGGAGTATAGATACACAAACACAGTCTACCTAGTACTATGATAGGTGATTGTGTTAAAAAGAATAAATCACTGAGGCTGGCAAGATGGCTTAGTGAGTAAAGGCACACGGTGCCAGCCAGGTGACCTGAATTTGCCAGTTCAATCCCTGGGACCCACATGGAAAGAGAGAACTGACCACTGTGACCTCTACGCTCACTTTGGCACTTATCTACACACACACACACACACACACACACACACACACACATACACACACACACAGACAGACAAAGGGGGGGGAGGGAGAGAGGGAGAGAGAGAGAGACGTAATAAACTTTCAAGGTAGCTCATGGGTGGAAATGGCAGCAACTCAGAAGCTCCAGACACCGGGCGCCGCTTGGAACTTGCCTGTTCGTTTGCTTTCCAGATTTGAGCAGTCTCTTAATTGCTTTCTCTTCCATTACTGTTTACCTTCTAGTTTTGATCTGAATGAAAACATGCTTCTGTTGTCTCACAGTATTGGATCTGATTGTAGGCACACTTTTGTAAATTGCATTTTAGTATTATGTCTTATCCCTATGTTCTGAGACTTTTTGTTCTTCTTTTTTTCTTTTTGAGATAATGGTCTCTCTGTGTAGCTCAGGCTGGTTTGGAACCTATAATCCTCCTTCCCCAACCTCCTAAGTCCTGGAATTACAGGTGTGTGTCACCATGCCTGGCTTATGAGAAATTGAAAAATGCTCTGTGACATAGGTTTTCTGTTTAGGCAGCAAATTCCTTCATGGAGATGCACTCCCTGGGGATGTAACTGCCTGCCCTGGTTTAGCTCCCACCACTACTATTGGCCTTTCTTTTTCTTCTTCTATTACTGATCAGAAAACAAGACCAGTCAACAACATGGTGAGTTCATACAGGTTAGTGTCTTTTAGTGATGTGTGGGATTGTATCCCAAAATTTCTTAGGGTCACATGTGATCGCTATGGTTACTGAGCCTTTCTCCCTTTCCTACTATCTGCTTCTCCAATTTGTGTATCCAGCACTTTCTTCATGAGTAATGATAATCCTTTTCTTCCCTTTACCTAAATAATACTCCTCCAAACTCTAAAAGTTTATTTCATTAGTAAGTTTCTATGGAAGACTAATCATTTTAGTATCTAATTTGTACTATTTACATATGCTATGCTAAGAATCTATAGCATCATTATTTAACATTATGGCAACATGACAACTCTACAAGGCAAATGCTATTATGGTCTCATTTTATAATAAACTAAATCAAACAAACAAAAACAAAACAACCTGTTTCTAAGTAACTTGTCCAGTATCCCACAGCTAGCAAGTTGCAAAGCTGCATTCTGAGCCCAAGGCTTCTAAACTATTCTAAATATTATTATCTGACATCCATGTTTATTTAAAACTTTAAGTGTCGCATTTAACATCATGTCACAGTAGGTTTCTCTTGGCTGTAAATTTTTCCAAACTTTCCTTATTTTCTCCAAGTCCTTTTTAAAGACTACACGTCACTCTGTCATCAGGCACTACAGAATAGCCGTTGTGATTGACTGGGCATTTCCATATGTGTCTCTGACCTGCACAGCACTCCTCCCAGGCAGACATCATACTCTTCAGTCTGAAACATAAAACCAAGGCTTAGAAAGTAAGAAATCCAACCCAGAGCTACCACTTGGTTCATCCGGATAAGTAACCAGAGCTATCGGATGAATTTTCTGCTCTTGTTACTACTGTAGTTTAAATAGCTTACATCTGTGTGCTCCTTAGAGTAAACTGGATGCCAATAGAAGAGTGGGCAGGCCACAAAGAAAGGGCATTCCTGGTCCAACTCTTCCCAATTTTCTTTCATTCTCTTTCTCTGTGTCTCTTTTTTTTTCTTTCTTCCTCCCTTTCTTCCTTCTTCCATTTCTTCCTTCCTTCCTTTCTTTTTTTCTTTCTTTCAAGTTGCACATGGCAGCCTAGGGTTAACCTGGAAATCACGGTGTTCCTCAGACTCCTGAGTCCCTGAATCATAGGTGCGAGTAACCACATTTAGCCCAACTCTTATCTTAACTCCTACTGATTCCCTAACAAAACACTTTAAGTCAAAAGTCACCAGAGTAGTTTCTTTACTGTCTGGGAGATCAGCTAGTCAAACAGTTCTGGTCATTGGGAAATGTGTTCTTTAAATGATGGCCGGCTTTTGATCTTCAAGTACATTTAGGGAGTCAAATACAAGCCTCTGAGAACCCTGCCATTGATATTGCGTGTCTGAATGACTTATTTACTTACTTACTTATTTGAGACAAAATCTCACTTTGTCTCTTAGCCTGGCCTGGAGCTCACTATGTACCACAGTAGTCCTATTTCAAAGTCCTGAGTGCAGGGACTACAGGTGTGTACTGCCCATGACTGGCTCCCCTCAGCATCTTAATAAAGACACTTTAAGTCACAGTGACCGCTGCTGTGGAATATTATTTTAAGATGTGTTGCATTTGTTTGTGCTGTGGAGTATTTGCTTAATGATGCAAAGATGTGTTGCATTCTTTTATGTTGCATTTGTTTAACTCTGTGAAGATATGTTACTTTTCCTGCCTAAAACATTTGATTGGTCTAATAAAGAGCTGAACGGCCCATAGCTAGACAGGAGAGAGAAATAGGCGGGATTGCTAGGCAGAGAGAATAAATAGAAGGAATAAGAAAGAGTACAGAGAAAAGAGGAGAGGAGGATGCCAGGGGCTAGCCACCCAGCTACACAACTAGCCATGGAGTAAGAAGGAAGGAAAACAATATAGAAGAGAAAAAGGTAAAAGCCCAGAAACAGAAGGTAGATAGAATCATTTAAGAAAAACTGGCTAGAAACAAGCCAAGCTAAAGCCAGGCATTCATAAGTAAGAATAAGTTTTTGTGTGTTTATTTGGGAGCTGGGTGGCGGGCCCTTCAAAAGTAATTCAAGAGTAAAGAGTAAAACAATCAGCTACAGACTGTAGTGTCCTTCAGTAGCAAGTCTCTACAGTATATGACAGTAATGTGAGTCCTCTGTTGACCCAATCTGCTGTCAGAAGGCACTTGTGAGCACCTTTATCCTCCTTCCCTCCCACCACAGTATGTGTCCATCTCATGAGTTCCAAAAGATGCCAGCACTGACACTTCTTCCAACCCTTTACACAGACAACCCTTTCCAGAAAAACCCCTTGAGACATTAGTTTGAAAGGTGAGTCAAACTGAGGGGAATGTTTTTTTGTGAGTTTGACAAACAACTTAAACTGAAAGGCAGTGAACCGCGGACAGAAGAGACAGCTCCTTTCTGCCTGATTCCTACCCCCTCCCACCCACGCACGCCACCACAGCAGGAGCCCCGCTGTGATCTGCCGGGCGCGCGGGGTGGGGCAGGAGGATGCCAGCGGCGGGGCGGGCTCCCGGGCTCCTGGGTTGCCTCGTCAAGCCTGCCATCCAGGCTAAGACTGCTCAGCGACATCGAAGAGCCTGCCCTGCCCACTCACTCACTGGTCGCTAGCCCTAGAGGGAGGAAGCCGTCAGAGACAAGTTGGGAAATACTCCTGGGCTACATCGCCGCCGTCAGCACCATGGACAACGCAATCGGGCAGCCCCAGGCGCGTCTGGACGCCGCTGGCTTCTGGCAGATCTGGCAACACTTCGACAGCGAAGGTGAGTCGCTTTGGCTACTTGAACGCTTAGCTTAGTCACTAAGGGAAATGGAACTTCTCCTAATTTCCCTGCGGAAAAAGTTGCCTACTACGTGCCTCATAGAGTACACGCAGAGCAGTCGGCTTATTTTACTGGTTGTACACATGAATAACGCTTCTGAAAGTTCTGTGTGGGTTGAGGGGTTTTGCTTTCCAACCTGTGGAAATCATACCAACCCGTGCATATCATCATAGCGATATGCAATTAATATATTAACAAATATAACTGCAGACATATTCTAGGCTGTTGGGCCAAGACTCAACAATCCCTGGTGCTTCTGTAAATGTGACAAGTTTTCATTTGTAGCTGTCATATTTCCCATTTTCCACTTCCTACAAAGGAGGATGAATTTTAGAGGCATGCAGATTTACTTCCCCTCTACCTCAAAACATTCTTGAAAATGAAACCTATCTGCATATCATTTGGTTTTGTTTCATTAGTAATTAGAGAAACACAAAGACGATATCTGAAAGGTGTGTTTACACACAGAAGCTAGGATTCAGTATTCACTCCATCAAGATATTATTGGGCAGCTATTGAAATAACAACAGCAACAAGTGTGGGCTAGAGAGATGGCTCGGCCATAAATTCCTCATACTGCTTTTTCAGAAGACTCAGGTTTGGTACCAGCACCTATGTTGGGCGGCTCACAACTACCTGTAACCCACCTCCAGGGGATCCGATGCTCACCTTGGTTTCAGGGCACGGACACTGATTTGTACTGCTGCCAGATACACCGACACACACACAATTAAAATAAATACAAACCTTAAAAAAACTTAAGAAGCATGCATATGAAATATAAAACCCTGACTAAACCCAAATCTGAATGACCAGGTGTGGTGGCACATGCCTATGATCCCAGCACTTGGGAGGTGGAGGCAGGGGAATCAGTTCAAAGTCTTCTTCAACTACATAGCAAATCTGTGGCCAGCCTGGGATCTACGAGGCACTGTTTCGAGCCTTCCTCACACCTACAGTATTCTTTAAGACAAACACTGTCACATTTATTCCGTATTGGTGACTGTCATTTATGTTTATCTTCTTGCATTAGAAAAAGGTTACATAAGAGAGACAGAGCTGGACGCCTTCTTCGACCATTTGCTGGCAAAATCTGGCACGGAGGTAAGTACTCACAGCACAGCAGTATGCCTCTCTCAGCTAAATGCAAGCTGCAGAGTCCCGTGCTGATTTGAACCTATAATCCCACCTGACCTCATTTCTTCTTTGCCTGTAGCATCTCTCCCTCTCCTAGCAACATAAAGAGATTTTGGCAGATGTTTTTTAAAAGGCACCATCTTACTAGGCATACTGGCCACCAATTTTCATCGAAACATCTGTCGTTCAGATAGAGTGCCTATCTTTGTGGACTCAATCAACTCTAATTTGAATGTTTCCTTGGTTACATCTCTGCTAATGGATTTCAGCAAGCGGTAGGGTAGCTCTTAGACCTAAACCACAAAAGAATGGAGAATACATTATGAGCTATGAGCTTTAAGGTTCCATGTTTACTCATGGCAAACAAATCATTTTAAATCATTTCCCCATGATATGTTTGATTAAAAGGTTGTAGATGTCTCATGAACTGCTAAACCAGAACAAAACCTACTACATTCTGAGAGTCAGATATGAATTTAAAGCAGTTTACCCAAATGGTAAATCTGGCCTGGAGAGATGTGGATTAATTCTAGAAGGTTCCTGTACCAAAGGAGCGGAGAAAAATAACACAGAGACTCCAAAGGCCAGGACAGTGTGTGACTGATGTTCACTCAATGTGGAGAGAATTCCTTTGGGTGGGTGGTCGTCACAAGAAAAAAGGGTCCGGTACTACTGTATTTACATGAAGTGTCTATCTCTAGCTTTTAGTCCTCTACCTGAAGGAGCATTGGGGTGTGCTCGGTTTCTCTAGAACCAAGGTCACATGTTCTCCACCCTAGAAGATTTCAGGGGAAGGTGTTAGAGGATGGGACAGCCGGCTGCAAATTGAAAACAAAACAGAATCTGCTCTTGGTCTCCCTCTGTTTCCCTCTACAGTTTGTACCTCTTTCGTCTCTCAGTGCTTTGGCCACGTCTGTGCCCTACACCTCGCAATGCCTGTTAGTGCTCTCCTCTCTCTGACTGCTCTGTCTCGTGTCTCTCTGTGATCTTTGGGTATTTCTCACTTGTTTCTTCAACTCTCCCCTCAAAGTTTTCTCTTGTCTCTCCTGTCCCCCAGGTCTTTTATTCCTCCTTTCCTCTCTTCCCTGTCTCTTTGTCTCAACTCTTTCTGCTGTTTATTCTTTATTTCCAAGTTCCTCTCTCCAACTCTTGGCTTCCTTTTCTCTTGGTCTTATTGTTCCCTTTGCCCTAGCCGTGGGTCTAGCTGGGGAAGTATCTAACAACTGAGACTCCCACTGCCACTTTGTCACCTAATTTCCCATTTCAGCAGCCCACTCTGAAGCCTCTGAGCCCTGCACCTGTAAAGGCTCAGGCTATGGTTTCCCAGGAACCCATGATTCAGACGCCATTTCCTCAACTCTGACTGGGAGATACTGTAAGAAAGCACACAGAGGAAGTTAAAAATCATTCAAAGCTTTCAGACTCTAAGACAGAATAATCACCCCCCCCCCCCAAAAAAAAAAATCCATCACTGAGATCCCAGAGGGAGGATTTTGTTGACTGGGGTAGCTCAGTTGCTATAGTCCTTGCCTACAACATATAAAGTCCTGGATTGTATGTCTTGTGTTGTATAAATCAGGCATGATAGCAAACACCTGCAATCCCAACACTTGGGAAGTAGAGGCAGTGGGAGCAGCAGTTCAAGGTTGTCTTCAACTACATAGCAAGTTAGAGGCCAGGCTATGTAAGACTCTGTCTCAAATCTCTCTCTCTCTCTCTCTCTCTCTCTCTCTCTCTCTCTCTCTCTCACACACACACACACACACACACACACATACACACACACACACACACACACACGCACGCACACCCACACACACACATACGCACACATATGCACACACACGCACATACACACCTGCATGTAAATAAAGTATTTGTTTATTCTGAGAGGGTCCTGGGGTTTCTACCAGAGAGCTGTTTGCTCATCAGTCTCACTGAACACTCGGCCTCCTTGCGGCTGCCTGTTCCTAAAGCCTCTGAAGGGGCCAGGCTAATGGGGCCATCTACTGTCATGGCTGCTCTTGTTACTCCAACCTCTCTTTCTGCATGGTGATGACCTGGAACCCGAGTAACCTGACTAAGGGTGGTGAGGGAACGAAGAAAGGACAGATACACAGACACACAGACAGGAAAGCTGTGTGCCCTCTGATGCAGTGCCAATTTGGACTCTCTGTGTTTTCATTAGGTACAGTACAGGGGAGGAGTTAGCTAGGTTTGGTAGAAGGTGTCTGTAGGTGCTCGGTTTCAGACTGTACACATTGGGAGATGGAAGCTGTGGTTGCTCTGTTTTGCATACACTGGTAACACTTGCATTCAGATCAGAGGAAGACTTTGCCATTTCTCTGAGCTTCACCTTAGGAGGAGAGCTTTGCCAATTTCCCACAGGTCTTTGACACGGTCGTGACCCTATCAACAATACACATTCATTCAGGTTTTCCTTGGTTTTCAACACACCTTTTCTTTTACATGATGAGAATTGGCCACCATCACCCAGACAAATGGATGGCCTATGGACCTGAGAGCAGGCAGGTTACTCCACATTTAGCATTTGACACATGAAGGAACCAGGTTGGCAGGACGTCTTGGAAACCAATGGAACCCTGTTTACCTTCCACAGGGAAAAGAGAATACAGATTTTGTCTCTGATAGCCCCCTTCAGAGAAGCCTCATAGTGTGAGGGAAAGATAGCAATATGTGTAGACAGAGTCTAATCTTTATCTTAAACTCTAGACCTGTAGCTGGGAACAACATGCCATCGAAATACCCTAATTTGGACTTTAATGTCCATAAAGTGTGAATAACCATGTCTTACTCTTCCTGTGTCATGAGGAGCCAGGACAAGCGGAAAGAGCATTCTAGTAGCTGAAGCACCTGCTGTGCACATGCTCTCGCAGTGATGTGGCGTCTCCTTGGGATCATATCTTTCCCAGCCCTTATTATGCAACCCCTTTACCTAACAGTCATGAATGGGTACTGAAAATATACTTCTTAATTATTCAGAAGGCTCTGAGATCTAAAACAAACTCTGAAGACTCCTAGTTTGTAGATTTGGAGACAAACCTTTGAACAAAATTTCCAAAGTCCCAGCAGGCTTTGGGCAGTATTGAAAGTCAAGTCCTTGCTCACTGGTTCTGAGAGTAAAAAATGGCTCTCAAGGAGAGAAGGTGGCTTGCCAGTGGTCACCATGGGAACGCACAATATTTGCCCATTGTGACACTGCTTTGTCACTGGAGGCTTTGGTCTCAATTTACTAATGTCCCCTTTCACATCTTTCATTTGGTGTGGACTCACTTAGGAACATATTCAATTTTTTAAACAAGGCCCTTCACTATTTCTCATTTATAATCCTCAAATGAATACATTTGGTTGATGTATTTACAGAATCAATCTGTGCAAGTCCACTTATTTTAATCATTACTTTAATCGTTCTAAATATATGGCCAAAGCCATCAGCCCAGCAGATGGCTTTGGTGGGGCTACAGTATAAAAACCCATCTCTCCAACTCCACAACTCCATTTTTAGACTTGTTGATCAACTTGCTCAAGATTAAACAGGGAAGAGGGAAATATTGATCAACTGACACAGAACTCAGTGGCTCCCCACATTTCTGTTGTCCATGTCTGTCCTAGAGGCAGGAGACATGACCTTGGTTTTAAAGAGATTCCCGCAGAAAGGAATACTTTGACTCCTTTTAGAACATCCTGAGTCTTAAGGAACTTCTTTCCAAGATGGAAGATTTAATCTGGGTTACTGTGTAACACCACCCTGGTTTTTCCACACCACCAATGCCACTTTCCAAAAGTATCCCTAGCTAAGTATTATCCCTTGGCTTTTATGTCTCCCATCTCTGCCCAAATATACTTAACTCCAGATATACATACCATGATCTTAGAGAATCCAGTAGCTCAAGTCATCAGTTAAGAGTGTTTTCTACCTTGTTTATAATTCAGTATCAAACATATGCTCTGTATCTTCTTCCCGCAATTAGTGGGACAGGAGTCCAGTGCCAAGGACCACATTCTCAAAGTGATGGCTGGTCTTCCCTCGCCTGAAGTTGAGTCTACTGACCAAAGTACCGGAACTTCCAAGGACTGGCTTTTAAGCTTCAAGGTCTTATGCTGTTTAGAGTAAGCAAGACTGTCCAGGGGCTGCCTGAGTTCAAAGATAGTGATGAAGGAGGCTCAACCAAAATCATAAACTTACTTAAAGCATGAGGTTGCTTTTCTTGGTAATTTGATTACATGGTTCTCCACTGTGAACTTTGTAGGTGACAATGTCTTGTCACAATGTCAAAGACTGAATACACCTGAGAGAGAATCACATTTGTTCAACTCATTGTTAGAACTTGTTTTGAAAAAAATTCCAAAGCAGGTGACCAAATTGTCCCTGGATTGTTTGAATAATTTCTCATTTGTAAACCACCTGGTCCTAGGCTTTACTAACACTATTGGGTACTCTTGATTCTATCCTGAGGTAACAATGTATACAAGAAAGTATACTTTTGAAAGTGCTAGGCCAGTCTGGGTGGGCCAGTGCCCAGCTTGTCAAACCGCCATTTCTTCCTGTTTCCTGGCAGGCAAAAGGAAACAGCAGGCTTCTAAATCCAGAGGCAATGGTGCCTAAGATGCTCTGACACTTTCCTCCTTTATTCTTCTAAATCACCAAGACTGATCTGGGAGAAAAATACATCTTGCCTGAGGGTAGCAATAGACAATGGTCGCGAATTGGAGAGCAGGTAGGACTCTTCAGCCTGGGTTTACACCATATTAATAGTCCAGCTGAAGGAGCTGGTCCTAAGAGAAAAAGACAGCTAATAGGTTAGCCAAGTAAAAAAAGAAACCCAAGCCACACATGCGCCCAGGTACATTCAAGCATTCACACATGTGTGCATGTAAAGAAACCCACCTTCAAAGAAAAAAATGGCAGGAGCCCAGGCGGTGAAGCCAAGGGCCTCAGTGTACAGGGACATTTTCCTGCCTCTCATAGCTGCTGTGGGGACTCTGAGATGCTCTTTATGGAAGATTCTAGCTTCATGTTTATTTCCTATTTGGTATTCCGCAAATTTGTAGCTCCCTACCCATCCTTTCTGTTCTGAGCTCGAAATAAGTAACCCCCTTCCTATCACTTCCTCAACCACTGTAGACTCCTCTCAAGGAGAAATCTGGCAGAAGGGAAAGCAGGACAAAGATGCCCCCTGGAAGCCTATGATGGGGGGCACGGGCCAGGCCTGTCTTGCTGGTCATGTTCCTGGGGCTGGCATTCCATATGGCAAGTGCTTGGGGGTTCAATAGTAAGCAGTGTGCCCTGTGTTTGTAGCTGGGTGTGGCTAGTGTTTTGGGGGGCATCTTATTCTGGATGAGACAGGAATAATGAATGCCTAGGCCAGTCCGAATTCTGTTTTTATTTGAAGAATTTTATTTGCCAGCACTGTGTACAATTATTCTCACCAATTTCAAGTGAGAAAGTGGGACATCTAGATCAGTTCAAGGCCACCAAGCAACTGTCCTGCCCATGTTAGATGAATGAGGTTTCCAGAGAGCCCACCAGAAGCTGAGTCAACCTTACCATAACACCAGCATGGGTGCTAGATATTCAACAGTCACACCTCTTGGGGGCCCTAGCAATCTGTAACTGATAGATTTGGAGCCTCTTCAGAGTAGAGTTAAGATGAAAAAAGTGTAGCACGAAGTCCATCACCCATGCACTCAGAATTGGGCAATCTTTGGGATCACCTCTTCCTCTCAGCTCTTGTGTGCCAATTCCTTCTTCCCCGTTATATATGTCATATCCCCTCTCCTAACCTTTATGTCCTCTAGAGAAAATGACTGAATAGAAACAGCTGTGAAGGAAATGTCACCCATGGGAGGGAGCTGGGATATCTTTGCTAACTCAACATCTGCTTTACGTCTTTGTTTGCCTTTCTACTTATTTCCCTTTACAATTGCTTTTCCCCAACAAAGAAACCAAGGAGCTTTCAAAGCTGGACTGTTTAGTTAAAAAAAAAAAACAAAAAAAAAAACAACTAAAACCTTTGTGTTCCTGGAAAGAACTCTTGTACGTTAATTATAACTCGGCCTTTTCTTTCACCCAAACAGCTGGTGATAGTTAAACGCATTCTTTTAAAGCCCACTTAGTCTCTAAGCGTCTTTATCTCTATTTCAGTTAGTCAGGATATGAAGAGGTAGTTGGTGGACCAAGAAATGTCTGTCAGTGTTTTGTCTTCTGGAAAAGACAAAAATCATTAACTAGTTAGAGCAACATGGTGATCGGGCTCCATGCTTTGAAGGCTTGGGATCCTGGTGACTATAACTATACATGCTTTGTTTCAGGACGTGCTGATACAAGAAAATGTGCAGAAAGTGAAGCAACAGTTAACGGCCACCCACGGTGTCTCTAAAGAAGGTCGCATACTGATGAAAGAGGTACTTCCATGACTACACACCCCATGCCCTTATATTCATGAGCAGCCATTTCCTTTCAAAGATAGTGGAAGCCAGGCATGGTTACTCATGTCTAGAATCCCATCACTCGGGATGCTGAGGCAGGAAGATTGCTGCAACTTCAAAACCAGCCTAGGTTACAGAGTGAGTTCCAGGCTAGCTTGGGTTACAGAGTGATACTTGGCCTCAAAACAACAAAACCACAAGAACATCAGCAGAAAGGACAGTAAAATCTTGCATTCAACCGAGATATTGGAATTTTTGAAAGGCTGTTGGACTAGATAATAGTTTTGAAATAATATCTCCTTCATTGTCTGATTAATAACAAAGAATCTTTCTACCTCCCATTCACTTATGAAATTGGATCTCATGTGGCCCAGGCTGGCTTGGAACTCACTGCATAGCTGAGAATGACTTGGAATTCTGGATCTTCCTTCTTCCACCTTCCAAGTGGTTGGATTCCAGGGATTATGGGATTATGTCACCAAGTGCAGCTCTGTGATTCTTTCATCATTTTAGGTAGATCAATCAACATTCACATCTGTTCTGTCCTTGGAGTATTCATGACCCAACATTTGTCTGTAAATCATCTCATGCAAATTGAATTGTGGTGATTAGAAAGCATTTACTTTTCTGCCTCTGCATCAGCTCCCAGGGAAGGTTGGAAACATCTCTCCCCGAAGATCATTATCCCTGCTCTGGAGAGGCAGAGGCAGGCAGATAGCTGAGTTTGAGGGCAGCGTGGCTTACAGAGCGAGTTCTAGGACAGCCTGGGCTACATAGAGAAATTGTCTAAAAAAAGTAAAACAAAGAGAGAAAGAAGAAAGAAAGAAAGAAAGAAAGAAGGAAAGAAAGAAAGAAAGAAATAAAAGAGAAATAAAAGAAGTGAACCAACAAACAAAACACACAAAGAACAAATCAGAAAGGCTGGGCAGGAAGCTCCTGCCAGGCAGGTGTAGGGACCTGAGTTTGATTTCCAACAATGCAGCAAACAAACACCCACCAGAAAACACCTTTTATTCAGCGCTTCCTAAAGCTAGCTACTGCATTAGCTGTGAAGTCCTGCCTACCACAGTCTCTTCTCACCCGACTGTCCCTCTTCCAGTTGGAAACCGGTTTACCATTCAGAAAGAGTTTCCATGCCCCTTGTGTGTAACAGTAGGATACACTGGGAGACATTCATGGGTAGGTGATTTTTGTTGTTGTAGAACTGTAGAGACCATGTATGTTAAGACTTAGGTGGCAAAAACCAGTCACTTATTATGGCTGTGATTAGGTCAAGGGAAGCAATAATCCCAAGATGGATGAGGCTGCTACTGCTCTACCACAGCTTACAGTTTTACAGCAGGTGTGTCTGCTTGTGTAGTGTCTGTCTGTCTGTGTGTGTGGTGGATGGTATATGTGAATATGTGTGTGCGCTCATAAGTATTCGTATGAAAGCCAGAGGAGGATGTTGGATGTCTTTCTCAGTTGCTCTCCATATTACTGCCTTTAGACAGAGTCTGTCACTGAGCCTGAAGCGTGCTGTCTTGCCTAGGATGGCTTACCATCAAGCTCCTAGAATCTGTCTGTCTCTGCCCCTCAACACTAGGGTTACAGGCACACAGTCACTATGCCTGGCTTTTACGTAGGTGCTGAGGATTTGAACTCAGGTCCCCATTTCTCATCTGCATCAAATGTACAGTGGGTTGTAGGAAGGTGGCCGGCTGAATTAGCACATTTGCATATTGTCGTATAAGACACTAATTGTGTTAAGGAGTATAAACCATAGTCAGAACCCTGGAATCTAGGCAGAGAGCAGTCATGCCTGCTTCCACACATGGCACTGAAAAACTCTGCATCTATAGCACCTGATCAGTGAAACATGGTGGCTCAGTGTGGGATAGAGGGGACTGATTGCAATATAGACTCTACCACTTACTGTGCAGTGCTGGCAGCTTTTTTATTTCTGTTACCCAGTTTTTGTAATTAGAAAAAAATACTAGTAATGTATTAGTAAAAAAATACTAGTAATGTATAGTGTGTGTGTTTGTGTGTCTGTGTGTGTACCTTATAGCTGCTTGTTAAGATTATTTGAATTAAACCAGGTGTGGCAGTTTATTTTCACAATTCCAGCACTTGAGACCCTGAGGCAGGAGAATTGTCCTAAGTGCAAGGCTGTTTCTGGCCATAGATTAAGACTCTGACTCAAAAAGCAACAGAGCAAAATAAAACAAACCAGGAATGACTGAGTTATAATGTATGAACCTTGGAGCAACACCTTCGAATATCAGTAGATTAATCATTCACTCAATGATGGAGATGCTTAGAGAAGCATGTAGAACAAATTAGATGATAAACAAATCCAGCATCATCACCGTTATAGCTGTTGCTGTTTTCTATTGTGCGATTCATAGTTTCGTATCTAATAGGAATATGGTACTTTTTGAAAGAACCGATAATTAACGAGTGATCATCAAGGGCTTAGAGCTGCTGGTTGGGTTCTCCAGCCTAGATGCTCTGAAAATGTCCCCTACAACATGTGCTTTGTGTATTTTACCTCTTAAGTGGACGTTGGTAAGAGTCCATGACTATTCCTCTTTGTTTCCTGTAGCTGGCCAGTATGTTCCTATCTGAGGATGAAAATTTCCTCCTGTTCTTTCGCCTGGAAACTCCCTTGGATAACAGCGTGGAGTTCATGCAGGTCAGCGCTTGTTGTTGTCTCCAAGGAGAAAGAGGGTGGGACTGCCATTCATTCTTCTTTCTGGTCCTTAAGACTGACTACTCTGATCTCTGTATCTCTGTATCTCTGTATCTCTCTGTGTATCTATCTATGCATCTTGGTCCCTGATGGTGACTTCGTTCAGAAGGTAGAGCCTGACTGGAGGAAGTGGATCACTGGGCCTTGACCTTGAGGTTTCAGAGCCTGGCCTTACGTTTTGTCCTTCTCTTTCCTGACTATGGATGTAATGTGACCAACTGCTTTGAGTTCCCACAGCCAGGCCTTCTCCACTATGATGGACTGTGCTCTCTTGAACTGTGAGCGAAAATAACCCCTCCATTAGGCGGCTTCTTATCAGATAAATGCTTTTGTGTGTTTCAGATTTGGCGCAAATACGATGCGGACAGCAGTGGCTTCATATCAGCTGCTGAACTTTGTGTGAGTGTCAGTGGGAAGTAACACGGCGTGAAGGGTTGGCTGGTTTGGGAGGTGTGTAACATACAGACACATATTTATATAATATAAACATATAATATACAACATAAATGTATATAATATATAATATGTATATCGCTCATATATCTATCTATCTATCTATCTATCTATCTATCTATCTATCTATCTATGAGTTTGATTTCTGTGGGCCCAAGACACACAATTTTGAGTTTGTTACTTTACAAAAAGCATGTTTATGTCAAGATTTTGAAGGTGAGGTGGCAAGATGGCTCAACCAGTAAAGGCATAAAGCTAATGACCCAAGTTCAATCCTCGGACACACATAAGGGTAGAAGAAGAGAAACAGTTCCACAAATCAGTCCTCTGATTTTCACATACTGTTGCACGGCCCTGCATGTCATGCGCATGTACATGCATGCACACACATACAATAATAAAAGTTTTGAAACCAATAAATAAATGAGAAAATAAAGGTTTAGAAATTGCTTGTCACGCAGCTGTTTTTGGGAAAGAGGTGAATGCTTTATGCTTGGAGTTCCTGTCTGGACCAAAGGGCACCTTCAATGGCAGCCCTCCAAGCTTCTACTTAGTGTTTATTGAACAATATTTCATTTCCTCCTTGAAAGAAATCATAATCCCTACCCCAATAGAAAAGACCTTAAAGAAGCATGTATCTTATTGCCAACTGTGCCCAATGCCGCTCTTCTCTCGGTGTCACAGAACTTTCTCCGAGACCTTTTCCTCCACCACAAAAAGGCTGTTTCTGAGGCTGAACTGGAGGAGTACACCAGCACCATGGTGAGTGAAGGAGAGTAGGCCTGTGTGGGGGCCTGCCCTGCTGTGTGGGGGCCTGCCCTGCTGTGTGGAAGTCTGCCCTGCTGTGTGGAAGTTGGCCTCTCACCACAGTAAAAACTCTACTCATTGAACCTGTGGACTCAGAGCAGAGGATACTCAGATGGAAATGTGCATGTCTCCTGTAGTCGTGACCTAAGACAGTGATAAGCTGGTGCCTAGGTAGTGTCAGGACAAAGCGAGTTGATGCCTAAGAATCACTTGGCTTTCCAAGGAGAGCACGGGTGTGCTGTGGTCGTTACCTCTTATTGGAGGTCATATCTTTATTTCACACCCTTCTCACGGCATTCTTGACCCAAATAATCGTGAGATGATTTCACTGTCAAGCTCTTTGGGAATTTATTAGATAGGAAAAGGAGGGCTCATCCTTGCTTTCTGTTTCAGTAATCACTAAATGCCCTCAACAGTTTGTGCTGAATGGCCCCTCTTTCCATGCCTGCCTCTTCCTGTCTCCAGGCTGTGGTTTATTCTCATTACATCTGTAGATTTCTTAATTAGTAAGCAAAGGACTCAAGACAGTCTTAGTTGTGTATTGTAGAAGCATCACATTTATTTTATATTTTAATTTAATGCCGACATGAATACTGCATTTACATCACTTTAATTTTTTTCAGCAGTATCTCCATGTTACATTTATACTTATACAAAGAATTTTTGAGCAGAATTAATGAGAAGTTGGAGTATATACAACTGAGAATAGTATGTGATTTTCTAAAATGTGGGTCACTGGGTTGACACACATACACGCGCATGTCACACACGCACATATTTGTGTGTGCATGCGGTGTATGTGTGTGTGTGTGTGTGTGTGTGTGTGTGTGTGTGTGGCAGGGACATGCATATTCATGTGAAGGCATGAGGTCCAGCTCAGGTGTCATTCCTCAGGAACCATCCTATAAAATGGGATCTCTCGCTGACCTAAAGTTTATTGGTTAGCTGGCTAAGCTGATTGACCAGTGATCCCCAGCAATGCCCAAGTTTGTTTTCCCAACCCTGGGATTACACATGTACTACCACCCCTGTCTTTTAAAATGTGGGTTCTAGGGATTACACTCAGGTACTTGTGCTTGCAGAAGCAATTCACCCAGTACTCTAGCTCCCCAAGCCTGTATATATACTTTTAATTGGGTTGCTCAAATACTGAAACTTATTTCAAAGATCAACTAACCAAGAAAAGGTAAGTTTCTCAGCCGAAGGCACCGTTAAGCTAAGCTTCTTAGATGGCAGCCCTGGACCCCTTCAGATATCACTCTGAACTCTGGCCACTCTGAGTGCTGGCCTGGGCAAGTGAGTCTTCCCAGAGAAAAATGGAAGCCGTGGTGACCATGATGGCCTGTAGGTAAGAAAAGATGGTGCTCAAGAGATAACCCAATCCCAGGACAGGATATCAAGGAAGCCTTTGGCGTATTTGTTCTAACTGCATGTAGCGTTATACTGGGAATTATTTGTTCTAACTGAATGCAGCAAGATACTGGGAATCCTGGGCAAACACAAGCTTAGCCCTGGGAGGGTGGAGATCTCCCAGGGGCAGGAAGCAGGTGCCCTATTCCAGAGCCTCTAAGATCTAAGTACCAGTGAAGATCTGTCATGGAATAAACGTGAAAAGGCATTAGTTTGTATCTTTCAGGGGGCCAGACTAGGAGACCTTGAACATATTTTAAACATCAGTTAAACAGAATGTTAGCCTGTCTGCTACTATCTCAATTTAATTAATTTGTAAAACATGAACTATGCAATGAATATATTTACATTTTAAATCTCTAGCAGCTTTCGGGCATTTCCTCCACTTTGAAGCTGATTGAGCAGAGGGTTCCACCTCTACTTCCAGCTAACACTTCCAATCTCTGCTTTCTCCTTCATTATATAGCTTAATTATATATTCTTTTTCTGCTCTTCTTCCCCTGGTCCTTGAGGATTCTTCAAGATTCAGTTGCATGTCATCTTTCTTGAAGAAATCCTTACAACCTTCTTTTATAGTGAGTCCGGTACCACTCTGCCCAGCCTATTGTGCGTGCCCCCACCTTAACATTGCAGTCACTCACCCAAGTCACCTAGCAAACACTCGCTAAGTGCTTATCATGCACCAGGCATGAATCTAGTCACTGGGGATTCAATAGTGAGAAAAAAAGGAAAGAGGAGCTTGGCAGTAAACAACGCACACAATAAATAATAGATTATATTGCATGACAGAGGGTGAGTGGAAAAGTAGAGCCAATACGGTAGAGAACTGAGGTATCCTGGTGTCATTTATGCTGCTGTGATGAAATATCCTAACAGAAGGAATATTAGGAAAGAAAGGGACTTATTTCAGCTTGTTATAATCTATCACTGTGGGACAGTCAAGGTGGGAACTTTAAAATGCTAGTCACATCACGTCTAAATCAAGGGCAGAGAGAAATGACCTTGCCTCTATGCTCACTTGCTTGCTTGTGCTCAGCTTGTTTGTCACAGACCGTGCCACATTGGGCTGCCATATGTCGTGGACCAGCCTTGACAAAAAGTACCTCTTGCCAGGGTAAAGGTATGGGAATTTAGAAATATTAGTAAAGAATACGGAGACGTGTAAAAAAATAATAAGAACAGAAACCATAGAAAGTACTGGGAGGGCATTCCAGTGAATACTGAAATTGCCAGTTTATTTTTCTATATTGTTTTTATACCCAATACAAATGGGAAAGAATGTAGCAAAAGACTTTATTAACGTGATACAAAGGACAGTTCAAAGAGTTAACCCCTTTGACACTTTGAGGCATCAAATCATTAGCATTCTGTTGTTTAAGCAGTAAAGCTGCCCTAGGCCACTAATCCTGAAGGCAACCACTCCCCAGGTGACCTCATAGTTCAATAAAAGAAGCAGAAGTCCATTTGCACATCCTGACCACCTGTCAGGATTGAATGGATCTTCTTGTATGAGCTATCTTAATGTCAAAAGAATTAACTAATCACATCCTGAGTTGGGACTCCTGTCAGCCACTTTGAGCAACCTCCAACTCTTTACCATAATTCAAGAACATTGGGAATGGCTATGGGGGTGTTTCAGGGCCGTGGTGTTAAATGTCCTCTTTCCCTCGGCGATCACACAGCCTTTGTCAGGGAAAATCCGAAGAGACAGCAGAAAGAACCAGAAGTGCTCTGATTATTCCCATCATACCCACTGTGAATATCACCACCACAACGCATCAGTCATTGAGAGGAGCTGAGTTCAAGTCTCCTACCCATCCTTCAGTGTTAGTTTTACCTGGGGCCCCAAGTCCAGGAAGTTGTGTACCTCCTGAGTGCTAAGTGATTCCCCATGAGTGAATCACGTTTCTGCTACTTTAATGCCTTCTTATTGAGCAATGAATACAATCATTGCAAAGCTGTGCTGAAGATTGACTTTTGAGGCTTGGCACAAACTGCTTTGCTTAAAAGATGCATCCTATCAGATGAATTGAAATTGACCCTAATGAGAATGGCCGCATTCGACAGCTGTGAGAAGCATGGCTAACAAATGCTGAGGGTGAACAACCAATCAGAAGAGAAAGGCTCAGGCCTGCTCGCCGAGTCCTGTCCCTAGCTAATGTTTGATTCCTAGGGAGGAGAAAGGGAGGAAAGGATGCTAACAGACAGGAGGAGAGATTGTGTATCTAGATAGGATATCGTTAGATGATACTTAATTTTGCTAAATGCAAGCAAATGACTCTGCGGGTTACTATCACCAAACAAATGAAATTCAGACACTTTTGATAAACAGAGAAATTCCTGAGGTTAAGCTGGCCTTATGACTAACATGAAGTCAGTCTTGTCTGAGACCTGTCTGGACTCATCTGTGAGATACTTTCTCTGTCTCTATCTATTCTACATACGCAGTTTAAAATACAAGGTAATGCCTGACAGCATTGTCTCCGACTCAAACCATTCTGAACTTCTTGGGCTCACATGGACATGTGTCTCAATCTCAAATTTTGCATGTCCAAAATTGAAATTCTGACCTTGTCTCACTCATAAGCTTCCTCTGCTGGTGGTTCCCTTCATCTTGATGGATGTGTCAAGACAATCAGTCTTGATGCCTTCTCTGCCAGTCTACATCTAATCAGCAAATCCTATCGACTACTATGCTAATTGAGGTTCTGTCACGATTAGCAAAATATTTGAAGCACAGTAGTATGTAAAGAAAAGAGGTTATTTAGCTGACAATTTAGGGAGGCTGAGAATCTACGATTGACTAGTCCTCACCTATTTGCTTAGCAGATGCATCCCAATGGCGGGAAAAGTGCTTGTGCAACAGAATGGAGTAGGATGGAAACATAAGGACACCCCACAGCCATGCTCAGTCTTCTCAAAACAACTCACATGTGGAACCCTGTCACAAAAGGCCTACATTAAGCCTTCCAAATGAGCTAACCACTTCCCTGGGTCCCACCTCCTAGACTTTTCTCAACTCAACACTGGTTCAGTGGAGACTAAACTGAACTTTCTCATCTCAATGTCATCCTCTGGAGAATAAGCTTCCAGCGTGTGTTCTTTTTTTCCACTTTATTTTATTTTTTTTTAAAGAAAACAAACTATCTTTTTACATTTTACATACCAATCCCAGTTCCCACTCCATATCCTCCTCCCATTCCCTCCACTTTTCTCCCCATCCTAGGTCCCCATCCACTCCCCAGAGAAGGCAAGGCACATTTCTCAGAGGAAGGACCAAGGCCCTCCTCAGTATATCCAGGCTGAACAAGTTATCCATCTAAAGAAAATAGAATGTACTCACTCATAAGTGGATACTAGCTGTAAAGCAAAAGGTAACAAGCCTATAGTTCACGACCCTAGAGAAGCTAAGTAACAAGGTGAACCCTAAGAGAAACATATATAGATTCCCCTGGGAAGGAGGAAGTAGACAAGATCTCCTGACAAAATTGGGAGCATGGGGTAGGGGGAGAAGAGAGGACAGAGGGGAGGAGGAGGGGAGAAGTAGAAGAGAAGGAGAGGGGGAGGAGAACTTGAGGGATCGGGATAGTCAAGACGGGGAAGAGAGAGAGACATGGGCACCAATTTGTTGTGGGAGGCTGTTCATTTGTTTTCCAGCCACTCAGACCAGCAATAAGCACACGGAAACTGTATTAACTGCAATACTGTTAAGCCAATAGCTTAAGAGTATTTCTGGCTAATGTTTATATCATAAATTAACCCATATCTATTAATCTGTGTATTGCCACATGACTGTGGCTTGCCGGCAATGTTTCTGTGGGCATTTGTCTCCTGTGGGCAGCTACATGATATCTCACTGATTCCGTCTACTCTTTCTCTACATCTCTGCTCAGATTTTCCTCCTGGCTTTACTCAGTTAAGCCATTGGCCAAAAGCAGCTTTATTCATTAACCAATAAAAGCAACACATATACAGAAGGACTTCCCATACCATTTCCACTTTTCTGTTTAAATAAAAAAGGAACTTTTAACTTTAACATAGTAAAACTATATATAACAAAACACATATCAGAGAACAAGGAAAGAGATATTTTAATTGAGGAAGACATAATGGGGCTAGCAAGAAACCTGATGCTAGAGAAATTCCCAGAAATTCACAAGGATGACCCCATCTAAGACCCTAAGCAACAGTAAAGAGGATGCCCGAACTGACCTTGCCCTATAACCAGACTGATGACTGTCTTAAATGTCACCATAGAACCTTCATCCAGCACGTGTTCTTTAAAGGGAGAATCACAATATAATATATTATATTCAAGTTACATCATGAATCTGGCCTAGACAGCTCTCCCTCACAGCAGCTAGCTGGCAGCTAGCCCTGGATTCTGTCAGAGGAACAAGTTATAGACCTGTGCGGTGATAACACACTAAGGACCGGTCACTGTGACCTATCCCAACCAGAAGCTGAGCTGCCAGTCATTTGGTGGCAAACACTCATTTTCCCTAGGTAGGTGTGCTCCTCAACTCAGCTGGTTTACAGAGTCTCCTTAAGAACTTTCAAGATCACTGGGTAGTAGTGGCTCATGACTTTAATCCCAACTCTTCTGAGACAGAGACTGGCTGATCTCTGTGAGTACAAGGCCAGCCTGGTCTACAGAGTGAGATCTGGGACCCTGGGACAGCCAAAGCTATACAGAAAAAACTGTCTCAGAAAAAAAAAAGAAAGGAAGGAAGGAAGGAAGAAAAGAAAAGAAAAGAAAAAAGAAAGAAAAGAAGGAAGGAAGGAAGGAAGGAAGAAAGAAAAGAAAGAAAGAAAGAAAGGACTTTCAACAATCCCTTGTACAATCATTTGTCACATCCGTGTTCCTTTTTGCCTTTCAGATGAAGATCTTTGACAAAAACAAAGATGGCCGTTTGGATCTTAACGACTTGGCGAGGTAAGTGGTACAGAAACGGCGACAAACTCAGATGTCCCTGTCTGGGGGGTCTGATGGCAACACACATCCTTTGAAATCTGACATCCATTCTTGCCTGGAGGCTAAGAGACCAGGCTCACCTTACAACCCCAACCCCGGTGCTTCTGAATCATGCTGGCAAACAGATTCCTCTGTGAAGATAATCAAAGTGCCATCCTACCTACATTTTTTTTTTAATTTTGTGGTTATGTCATGAGTGGGTTTTGCCCACAGAGGCCAGGCATACTTGGTCCCACATTGGGATCCCAGGACCAAAGTAAAAATAGCCCCCTCCAAACCCCAAATCTAACAAAATGAAAGCAATGATGATAATGATGAAGATGATAAATGAAAGAAAGAACCTTGAGGCTATTCACTGACTCCAGGAATGTTGAATTGTTAATTCAGAGCAAAAGCAACAACCGACTAACTTCAGTAGGACTAGTTTTCTGTTGGCTTTTGAGGGCTGACGACCCTCTTGTAATTCCCAAAGGCTAGCAGGGGAGGAGGGGAGGATGAGGGCATCTTCCAGGTGACTTGGGATTGATGGATCACCATGTGTGTTGCTATTCTGCTTTCCAGAACTATAATAAAATAGGCGAAAAGATAAAGAAAAAACATTTATTTCACCATTTCAGAGGTGGACATCAAAAAACCATGACAAAATTTCTATAAAAATTTCATGATATTGTGTTGAAAGGAGGCTGCTTGTTTGTCCCAGTCGCTCAGAACTGAAATAACCACACAGAAACTGTACTAATTAAATCACTGCTTGGCCCATTAGTTCTAGCTTCTTATTTGCTAACGCTTACATCTTAATTTAATTAATTTATAATAATCTGTGTATTACCACGTGGCTGTGGCTTACCAGCAAAATTTCAGCATGTCTGTCTCTAGTGGTGGCTCCATGGCTTCTCCCTTACTCCATCTCCTTTCTCCCAGCATTCAGTTTAGTTTCCCCCACCTACTTCTATTCCCTGCGCAGGCCCAAGACAGTTTCTTTAATAACCAATGGTATTCACAGCATACAGAGGGGAATCCCCCAACAGTATAGTGTATCTCTTGTTTGTGTGGTCTTTTACTCCTTTATTGTTATTGACATTGAACCCAGGGCTTTTCATATGCTAGGGTCAGTGCCTGGTTCTGAATGTTGTCTGTGAAGAGACACTAGGAAGACTGTTGTCAGTCCTGACCATGACATTGATTCTGCCACACTAGATGGATTTCCATGTTTCCTAGAAGCAGTGTGACTAATTTTTGGTCACATTGATGAAAAGGGGACACTGAGAGACCAGTCAAAGAGGAATAAAGTGCTTCTCCCCACAGAACCCTAAAATCTTATTTCTGCTCTCTCCACTTCAAGTGGTTTTCTTGGAAAATTGAGGCAGAATTTCCACCCACCCCTCAAGATAAGGAAGATTTGTTTGAGAGTCTCTCCTCAGAGGAAAAGTCAGTGTCCAAAGGATTCACTGAAATCAGGACAATACGGGCAACAACAAGGGCTTCTAATCTTCTTGATCCCTACCCTGACATCTGCCTGTTCTCAGCCTTTCATATAAATGGGATCAGGGGAGGTAGCTCAGTAGGTAGAAGGCCTTGGTGCCAGCATGCCTAAGACTGTAAGCTCAGTCACACACATGCACACACACACGTGCACACATTCACATATTCACGCAAGGAAATATGAATACAAATGGAACACACATGCACTTTTTATAACTGGCTCTATCACTTGCAATAACGTTTTGTAAGTTGTGTCTCTGTTGTGACTGACCATTAGCCCATGCATTTCTCGTTGTGACTGGGTACTTCACTGCATAACTCCATATCTTGTCCCTTTATGACGACATACATTTGGGTTGTTTCTACTCTTTGGATACTGTGAAGAGTACTACTATGTGAGTGTGATGAGCCTTTCTCCTTGGTTATATTCTTGGAAGTAGAATTTTGGTTCACATGGTAATTCTATATTTAATTTTCCATGGCAGTGCCAAATGGAAATACTAGTTTCCACACTGCATGACTGCTGGAGATTTGTAGTAAGGTTTAAAGTGGAGAGTCCTCCAACCTTGTTCTTTTTAAAGATCTTTCTGGCTGTGCTGGGTCTATTTGCATATCTTGATATAATTTTAGGCTTAGATAGTCAGTTTCTACATAAAGGCAGCTCAGATTTCCATGAACTTTGTTCTGAATCTGCTGTTCAAAATGGAAATATTGTCATCCTAACAATATTGTCTTTAAGTTTACTAACAACAGTTGTCTGTCCATCTTTTCAGCTGTTTAGTTTCTCTGGAAGATACTTTGGACTTTTCAGTCTAAAGGTTGATCCTATTCTTGTTCAGTTTGTTTTCAATCATTTGCTTCTTTTGGATGATGTCATATATAACATGATTCTTTGGATCCTTTCTTAGTTCTATCCTCTTGCTGTATTAGAACACCGTGACCAAAAGCAGCTTAAGAAAGGGTTTCTTTTGGCTTGCCCTTCTGGAGAGGTAGGGTCTAACGTAGGTGGGAAGGCACAGAGACAGGAGCAGGCAGCTGACTGGTCACACTATCATCCACACACAGGAAGGAGTGGGAAAGAAGAGGATGGTGAACAGTGGTGGGGCTGCAGGAGCCTCAAAACAGGCCTTGAGGGATGTGCTTCCTCTAGCAAGGCTGCACCTCCTAAAGGTTCCTTAAAGACCCCAAACAGCACTACTAACTGGGGGAACAAGTGTTCAAACATATGGGACCATGGAGGGAAATAATCTCATTCAAATCATTGTCTTCATTCTCTTCCCTCCCTCCATCCTTCTGCTTCCTTCCTGCTTTCTTTTTCTCCCTCCCCTCCATCTCTTTTTGTTTTTGATGCAGGGTCTCTCTATGTCATCCAAGCAGGCTGGCCTTGAACTCGTGCTCCAGCTCCCTCAACCTCCAGACTGCTGTGATTACAGATGTGCATTTTTTGCTCTGGTCATTTCTAGTGAACAGAAATGCAGTAGAAGGCTCTGTGTGGACTGTGCTGCTTGTTAGTTTGAATAGGTTGTTGTTTGCTTCTTTGGATTTTCTTGACGATGATGCCACCTGCAAACAGCAGCACTCTGCTTCTTCCTTTACATTTTGCTAATCTCTGCTTCTGATGGAGCTATTTAACCCATATATGTTTAATGTGATTGCTGATGAGGTAAGGTTTTATGTTTGCTGTTTTTCTGTGTTTTATCTCTGCTATTTTTGTTGTTGCTGCTCCTTTCTATCTTAAGCTAAATAAATATTTTATAGTGAACTATTTTCATTCTCTTATTGTTTCTTTCACTATTTATATATTTTGGTGCCAGGGGCCAGCCCCAGCTGTTGACAGGTTCCAGAGAGGAGGTGAGGAGTGGGGCGGAGGGAGGGAGCCAGATCATTGCTGCTGGCAAGAATTTTGCAGCCTGAATAACTAGCAGCCAGAGTGCTTCTTTATTTAAATGGGATTTGGTAAGCAGGGATAGATTCATGTTGTTCTTAAGTAGAGCTCATATCATTTTCGTATCTGGACATGTGTTTAACTTTTTCTCTTGCACATCAGGGGTTAAAGTTTATTCACCATTGATGAACTGTGACAGAAGAGAGTTACATTTTACAATCATTTTCCCTCAGGTTTAGTCATCATTGATAAACAGGCTTATATTTTATAATCATCTTTATCCATCAAACCCATAGCCTAATTTTTAAGAATTTGAGAAATATATGGCAGTCTGTTTTCAGGCTGCTAGCTCTTGTGGTTTCAAGGATGCTAGACAGAAAGAAAATCTGGAAGCCAGCCTGGGCAGTTTGCCATGTCCGAGGCAGTGTATTATTAACTCTTAATGGTGAGAGGGCCCAAGGAAAATCCTCAGGCCAAAGCTACTGCAGTTATTATTTAAATTCTGACATAATACAATGTTTACATTTTATATCTTTCTAGAATTTGTTTATATGTCTAATCCTGACATTGTTTTGTTTGTTTGTACCTTGGTCATAGGGTACCACAGTGGCTCCACATGAGCTAACTTTTCTAAGAAAGGGAGGTCCTGACCCCTCATTCTTTATCATCTTTCCACATTGTTCTTTGTCCATCAATGTAAGTTCCTGTGTAGGGCAGAAGGAACTTCAACTAATCTAACTTTCATTGTTGTATATGCCACATGATCATCTGTAGAGTAGGAAAAGGCTTGTAATCTCTGTTGCCAACTTCTTGCTGATCTTTTAAGTTTGCTTTGTTCTGATTATCTTGTTCCTGAGTAAGAACAGGAGCAGATGTTTTAAAACTATATCAGACCCTCATAAAGAAATCTCCGAATTCTTTGGGTGTGTCACAACCTCCAAGGTCTAAGGAAGACCTTCAAGTAGATGAGGATATCTCCCTAACAGAAGGCAGAATAGGATGCTCAGGACTGCGCTGGGGAAGCTCAGAAGCAGTACTCCTGGGAGAAGGCACAAATGAGTCATAAGAAAAATTTCAGCAATCCAGTATTCCCAAATTGTAGAAATATTAATAGCCTCCCAAGCATGTAATACACAGAGATCGAAGCCAAAAGTGTCATGGTGGCCATATGTGGCTTAGCTTTGCTGGATTCTTGTTGAGCAGTTGTGCTGGCTTTATGACTTTAGCCCTTCCCAGCAGATATGGCTGTGTCATTTGGGGTTATTTTCTTAGTGGTTCTCTGGGGGAATTACATTAACAAATTGGATTAATAGCAGCTTAATTTCAATATTATAATAAATTTGTGCTTTGACAGTTCCAATGTACTGTTAAATACCCCGTGTTCTTTGTGTTCTCCAAATCACATCATTATATGCTGTGTAGCCATCAACATCTTTCTTTCTTTCTTTCTTTCTTTTTTTCTTTCTTTCTTTCTCCCTCCGCCCCTCCCTTCCTTTCTTTCTTGGCTATTGCTGTGTGGTCTAGGCTGGCCTTGAACTACTATGTTGAAGGGATCCTCCTGCCTCAGTCTTCTGAGAAGCTGGCAGTGTATCAGGTGCCTGGGGCACACATTTTGAAAACAACAAGAATGGCACTAATCCTCTCTCTCTCTCTCTCTCTCTCTCTCTCTCTCTTTCTCTCTCTAAAGTATACATGTATGAGCATTTTGGCTGCATGTATGTCTGTACATTATTTCCATGCCTGTTAGCTTTGAAGGTTGTGAGCTTCCATGTACTTGCAGCTGAAACTGGATCCTCTACCAGAGCAGTTGATGCTGCTAACCACTGAGCTGTCTTTCCAGCCCCTTGTGCTGCCTGTTATAACTGCTCTCGTGCTTACCCTTGCCGGTGCTTTAGATTCTTCACATGGATTCAAGTTTCTGCCTAGTGTCCTCCATTTCAGACCAAGGACTCTGTTTCATTTTCCATATAGGATATATTTGTTAGCGATGATAATTTTGTTGGTTATGTTTGGTGGCATTTCTGAACTAGTTCTATATAGTCTACCCTCGTCATTGTATGTATCCACTGAAGTCTCCTTGTGGGTAGCTTAATGGTCAACTTGTGATCAGGAAGACAGGGCTTTCGTTTTTTTTTTGTTGTTGTTGTTAATGAAGTGGGAACCAGGCATGGGCTTTGCCCATGCTAGGCTAGTCCTCTACCACTAAACCATATTCCCATCCAAGGCTTGCTTAAACATCTGGAACAATAAATTCCCAGTCATGCCTCAGGGGCTCAAACAGGTGGGGAAAGAGAATGCTACAATACTTCTTGTCCTGGACAAGAGTAACTGGCTTTTCTTAGTTTTGTTTTTATTTTATTTTGGTTTGTAGAGACAGTGTCTTTGAAGCCCAGGTGGCTTCATACTCCAAAGTCTCCTGCCTCAGTGTCCAAATGGCTGGGCCTATAGACCTGCGCCACCACACCAAGCTGATCACACCGTTGGTAGAGAACAAACACTCCCCAGACTGCTGAAGACTTTAAATGACTTTTCAGAGTTCTGTAAGCCTCGCTCCTGACCGTTCTTTCCAGTTTCCTTGTTGCTTTTTGAGGGCAAACTTTCAGAAGCCTACAGTCTGTGGTTTCCCACCGGGAAAGGTCTCTAAAGCTTTGTATCGTGATGACTATTGTTAGGAAAGTTTGCCCAGTGCTCTCCTTCATCTATGGTGTGGGAGTCCTGCATTCCCAGCTTCTGTACAGCTCTTTAGGATAATGCAGGAACCACCAACCTTTTCCTTTCCCCAGAGCTGGGCATTTGCTGACTGATGAGGGAGCTTACAGAGGATCATGTGGATTCTCTTTTTCCCCCCATTTAGGATTCTGGCTCTTCAGGAGAACTTCCTTCTCCAATTTAAAATGGATGTAAGTGGTGAGATTTCTCTGGATGGGTTTCTGTTACCCTTGTTTCTTTATGTATCTAGAAAGAAGGAAAGAGAGGAAGGTAAATTAGTTTTGTTTTCTCGTCACTAAGGTAAAAAAAAATCTGGCAAGAAAGGGAAGGGAGGGAAGATGTAGAGATGAAATCCATCATGGCCATCATGGTGGGGGTGGGGTGGGGTGCTGGTGGCCATGGTGGCAGGAGCAGCTCGTAGCTATGGAAATGGAAGCTTGCTTATATCTTGGTAGATCAGGAAGCACAGGACCCAGCAGGAAGTAGGACTGTGCTATAAAACCTAAAGACTTGCCACTTGGTGACTCATGTTCTCCAGCAAGGCCCAATCTCCGAACAGTTCCACAGTCTTCCCAAACAGTGCCACCATCTGGAAACAAAATGCCAATGCATGAGCCTGTGGGGGACATTTTCTATTAAAATTATAACAAAAGACATCCATTTGTCTTTTAACTGTTTTAGAGACTGGCAAGGCTCAAGGTGGAATCAAGGAACTTAAGGGTTGTTGATTTGAAGTTTCTAAGGGTTCTATGGGAGGCACACACCAGTGGCTTTGCATTGCTCGACTGACATAATGTTTTCTTTGCACCCAGGCATCGTCTACTGAAGAGAGGAAGAGGGACTTTGAGAAAATCTTTGCCCATTATGATGTTGTAAGTGCTCTTTATGTTTTGACACCATCTTCAGGTAGAAAGCTCACCTTGTTTCTGTGTGGGAATACCCTACTGACAAGGTCTAAATTCAGACAGTGAATGGCAATCCCCTGTGTGTGTTGTTAGGTCAAGGTGCCCTGAACATCTCTATGTAACATCAGATGATGAAAGGATGGGCAAGTCTGATTTATAGTTGGGCAGAGAGGAACTCATAATGCTCTTTTGGCTTGTGAAACTATGATAAAGATTCTCCTCGTAAGAACAGACACCCATTTATTGTATGTGCCTAAAGAAATGAAGAAACGGAAAAATCCAAAGACAGACATATAGGCATCCTCCTGAATATTAACCTTCATCAGGCGATGAAAGGAGACTGAGACAGAGACCCACATTGGAGCACCGGACATATATCTCAAGGTCCAAATCAGGAACAGAAGGAGAGAAAGCAGGAGCAAGGAACTCAGGACCGCAAGGGGTGCACCCACACACTGAGACAATGGGGATGTTCTATTGGGAACTCACCAAGGCCAGCTGGCCTGGGGCTGAAAAAGCCTGGGATAAAACCGGACTCTCTGAATATAGCGGACAATGAGGACTACTGAGAACTCAAGAACAATGGCAATGGGTTTCTGGTCCTACTGCACGCACTGGCTTTGTGGGAGCCTAGGCAGTTTGGATGCTCAACTTACTAGACCTGGATGGAGGTGGGGGTTCCTTGGACTTCCCACAGGGCAAGGAACCCTGATTGCTCTTCGGGCTGATGGGGGGAACCTAACTGGGGAAGGGGGGGGATGGGAGGCGGTGGCGGGGAAGAGACAGAAATCTTTAATAAATAAATAAATTAAAAAAAAAAAGAAATGAAGAAACAGAAAAATCCTTCCCATCCAACCAAAGCATCCACACAAGGTCAGTCCTGCCCAGTGTAAAATGGTTTCTTTTGTGGAGTAATTGTATAGCCAGTTTTCAAGTGATGTACTGGCTGGTTCTATGTGTCCGCTTGACACAGGCTGGAGTCATCAGGGAGGAAGGAGCCTGAGTTGAGGAAATGCGGCCTTGAGAGCCAGCTGTAAGGCATTCTCTCACTAAGTGATCAGTGGGGAGAGCCCTGCCTGCTGTGGGTGGTGCTATCCCTGGGCTGATGGTCCTGGCTTCTCTAAGAAAGCAGACAGAACAGGCCAGGGGAAGCAAGCCAGTAAGCAACACTGTCCATGCCTCTGCATCAGCTCCTGCCTCCAGGTTCCAGCCCTGCTTGAGTTTCTGTCCTGACTTCCTCCAATGATGGATTATGATCCCTCTCCTCCCCAACTTGCTCTTTGGTCATAGGGGTTCATGGATGCAGTAGAAACCCTGACTAAGGTGGGCATATCCATTCCAGAACACTAAGTGGCACAGGGTTGAATTTCTGTGGGACCAAGGTGGGATAGTGTGAAAAAGAGGGAAAATGAGCAAAAAGGTGGGGAAGGTTCTAAGTATTTTTTCCGTGAAATTAATGTCCCAGAACACCTGGGCAGATGCACACTGCCTGGGGAAGGCAGTGCTTAAGTTCTTACTGTGTGTCTATTGCCCAGCTTTTCACCTGGATTTCTTGGTTATGTGACCTTGGATAGTTACCTCAGCTTCTTTATTCTCTCTGACCCCTCCCCATTTTTTTTTCATTTTTTTTTTTTTTTTTCCTGAGACAGGGTTTCTTGTGTAGGCCTGGCTGTCCTGGAACTCTGTAGACCAGGCTGACCTCCAACTCAGAGATCTGTCTCCTGAGTGCTGGGTTTAAAGGTGTGTGCCCAGTTTCCCCCTGCCTTTCCCTCCTTATCTGCAAAGCTAGGGAGGTCAGAATAGAAATGGATCTGCTGGAGCTGTGCGAGCTGAGTGAGCTACACTTGGAAAGCTTTTCCTGAAGACTTTGGTGTGCAGCATGGCCTGCTAGTGAATCCAGTAAAGGAAGCAGATTCAAAATAACATGTTAAAGGGTGGGAATAAAGAAAACATGGGGAGAAAGATGGGATTCAGGGGTGCTGGGTCATGCCTCAGGAAGCTGAGGTGAAGGATGTGCTGTGAGTTTAAGACTAGGGTGGATTACAGAGTGATACTGTGTCTCAAAAATGAAAAGGTAGGGAGGGACTAGAGGGATAGCTCGGGGGTTAATAGCAATAGCTGCTTTTCTGGATGACCGGGGTTCAATTCCCAGCACTCACATGACAGCTCACAACTGTCTGCAACCCTAGTTCTAGGGGATCTGACACCTTCTTCCAGCCACCAAGGGCACAGGTGTGCAAAGGGCGCACAGAGATCCAGGCAGGCAGGACACCAATACACATAAACTAAAACCAAACAGCTCTTTAAAGACATTGTGAGGCGGAAGGCATTATGTAACAGGTACTTTCGGGAAAGATGGACATGTTTGGATGTCTATGCTTCATTTTACTTTTATGTTTACACAGATTACAGAATGAGTAGGAAAAATGTCTTATATACAGGAGAAACAGTTTCATATACGGATTCAATTACAGCCGCCCTCTGTTTAAAGCTTACACTTGCAGCAATGACGAGATGATTGCTCAGGTATAAAGCAAGCATTTTAAACGTCCAATCTGTCTTCTCAGAATGATTGCTGTATGATTAACACTTCCTGGAACAGAAGCCATGTGAGGGAAGTAGACGTCAATAAGTTGCATGTTAGTGCTCTTTGCTGAGGGGCTCAGAACCATGTTTCCTTGTCTGGGGCAGGAAGCTGTGGAGGAGGGATTCTTTAGCTCACACAGGGCACTCATAGCCCGTGAGAATAAAAAGCAGAAAACCCCATTCCTAAATAAGTTTGCAGTTACAAATGAACACCGATTGATCAGTTTGTCAAATTTATTCTTTAGCTTTTTGAACTAAGAAAATGATATGTAAGTGATTTGAGCTTTTTATCCTTCAGAGCAAAACTGGGGCCCTGGAAGGCCCCGAAGTGGATGGATTTGTCAAAGACATGATGGAGCTGGTCCAGGTGAGTTCATGAAGCCAGAAGGGCTACTCCCATCATGCACTGGGGTTGACATTGTGACAAATCGCACTGTTTATTTCTGGGACTGAGTGAGGCTGAAGATTAATGCTAAGGAGAAAGATCTAGAGACATTTCCTGTCTCAGAACCACTGAGATTCCAGGAGACGCAGCATGTCCCTTTCACAGTTTAAGATCTAATGAGTTACAGTAACACATAATCAAGGCAGAAGTGTCTTTTAACCACCATTTTAAAGTCATTAACTCTTCCCAAACAGCCCAGTTTTGCTGTGCATTTTACTGTTTTATTTTTTCAGTTTCCTGGAGTCTTTTCTCCCCTCTATTACCTCTCAGACTTCATTATTACAATAACTACAGTTTTAAATTTAATTTCCCATAGAACTTTTTTTTTCATCATAGGGTGTTTCAAACATCTAGCCTAAGAAGGACACATACTGTTATGACATTGCTGAGTCTCGGGCTAAGGCCATTTAGGTTATATTGTATTACATGGCTGTTTTTTGGTAGGGTCGACAATGTTTCTAAAATGGCAAACTCCTTCTTCTGAACTTCATTCTCTATACTTGTTTATAATCCCCTACATAGACAACTCCAGCCTCTCTTTCTTCAGGGAGCAGTGTAGACAGTGGATTTAGTAGTCTATGTACTTAGGGATTACTTTGAAGTACATTATTGTATGCACGATGATTGCATACTAGCTGTCCCAGACAGCAACAAATTAGAGCAACAGTTATTAATCACTTTTCAAGTCTCAGAATTATTGCAAATATGATTAAAGCTAAGGAACCTTGCTTGTTAGCGGGCAGGTTAGATGGTCTATCTAGGCTGTAATTGAGTATGAAATTGTATGAACTTCCAATGCTTGTCTTGAAAATTTGAGATTATGTTTGTAGAACCCCTAGTCCAGGAATCTAAGCACTCCTGTGTTACTGACTTGCTATTAAGACAGCCTTAAAGACAGAGGTTCCATGGCATCTATGTTTTGTCTTCAGTGATCCAGATATTTTTAAGGAGCAATATTCAGTTTTCCTAACTTGTAGTGCTATATCCAGAATTAAAAACATAACCTACATGGTATAGTGGACTTTCTCTTATCTCCTTAATTCCCACTACTCAAATTCCCCAAACACTTCTCACTTACTCCAAAGAAATAATTATTCTGAAATAAAATATATTGTTCTTCAATTAGAAATAAAAGGGTTATAATAATTTGAATGAGGTAAAGACACTGGTAAATAACTCATGATTAGGTGTCTACCACTCCAATCTTCTCTAAGCATAAGGATTTTCTATAAGGGTGCTGGAGTGGGTGCCACTTATTGGAGAACAGTTATAGCAGTGAGTTATTAAAGATGTTGAAGACTATATCAAAGGCCTTTAAAGTAAGGTCCAGCCTTACAAGTCTTCGCTCAGGGTTCAAAAGAGATGCTACAATAAGCGGAGGAACTCCAAGGGCTGTAGAAAACTTCTCACAGCGTATTCTTTCTACTCTTGGGCTTTTTATGGTTCTCTCTTTCTTCTTTTGCCTCTAATATAATTCTTCTGACCTAATTATCTACATTTTTAGCTCTAATTCTCTGTCTCAATTCTAATTCCAATTTCAATTCGCTTCTCTGTCTTCTTCTTCTTCTTCTTCTTCTTCTTCTTCTCCTTCTCCTTCTCCTCCTCCTCCTCCTTCTCCTTCTCCTTCTCTTTCTTCTCCCCCTCCTCCTCCTTCACCTCCTCCTCCTTCCCTTCCTCCTCCTCCCCCTCCTCCTGCTCTTTCTTCTTCTCTTTCTCCTCCCCCTCCTTTATTTTCCTATATTCTTATTCTTTTACATTTCTGCTAATTTCTGCCAGCTTCTGCTTCAAGGTACTACTTCTTTGGTCTTGTCTCTCAAAATCTCTCTTGCCTCATGGGTTTAAAGCAAAAGGACTTACAAGAATAGCTCTCACTGGTCAGAAACACATTCCTAGGCTAAGTGATGAGGGCAGAGCAATTGCCGTGGCAATATAAGGGTCCAAGGTTGCAGAAGTGAGACGGTGACCCGAAGGCGGGGTACAGTGAGATAAGCTTTGAGATATACGTCTTTAGTTAAAAGACTGGCGAGCAAAGAATAGGCATACTTTAAGGTTAATGTGAGGTTAGCTTGGGACAGAAGCTTCCTATCTGCTGGCAGAGTGAATCCAGGACACTCATGTTCTCTATCTCTCTGAGAGCTAAGGCTCAACAACTTCAGACATGCCACAATTCTTGTCCTTGGGCATCTGTGAATGTCTCAATAGAGGTCTCTTTGCTGGACACCAATACTGACCAACTGTCTGCCAAGGAAGATAATTGCAGGAGGGCAAACATTTAACTTTATACAACAAAGACCTGGCTGAGAGAGTAAGGGTATTGATTGTGGTTTCTTTCTTGTTCAAATCACACATTGCTGTGAGAGTCATCCAATATACCAATACATAGGGAAAATTGTGCCCCATAATTGATTAATACACCACTGGGGGGAGAGCGATGGCTTCACAGGGAATTTACAGTAAGGACATTGACTATTCATAAAGCAAATACTCCCACCACCCTGCCCTGCCTGTGGACCTCCTCCATCGGAATGTGTGATCCTGGTGGGTGAGGTTCGTGATTTGTCAGCTAAGTAAACGCAATCCTATGGACCACAGAAGACTAGACAGACATCTCCACTTTGCATCTGTACAACAGACGGATTCTTCACGGGGCTTCTGGAGCAGCTTGCTGTAAAGACTTCTACGCTATGTTTCCTTGAGCTGCACACACAGCTGCCTAGGACTGAGACCCAGGAAACTATACTTTTTGAGCCCAGTGAAAGGAACATCCTGACAACGCATTTCATCCTGCCCTTGTGGCCTGATCACTAGGGATGCTTCTGACAGAGGTGTGGGCAGTCCCCAGTCCCCCCAACCCTAGCCCAGCCTGGTGCTCCCTTAGTTTCTGCTACTCTTTTCTCTCCTTCTCCCTTTAAAGCCACAGTCAGTACAGATGCAGCGGCAGCCAGTCATTCTCCATGCTGGATTGTTGGTTAGCCCCTCTGGCTGTGTCTCTCTAGTTTGAGAATAGGAGGTTTTGTCCCCTACTGAAGATCTTTTAGAGGTTTCTTTGGAGGTAAAGAAAGCTTGAGGTGGGGTTGGGGGTGGGGTGGGTGGTGTTTGTGGGGGACTCAGAAGTCTCTGGAAGGAAGCTGCCCTTTTTCTCCACACTCAAGTAATCAAGAAGAATGGACATTGGATTCACTGATTTTCTTCTCTTTTGATATCAGTTTGGCAGTTTAGATTCATTCCCCTTCCCCAGCTTGCTCTAGAGCTGGGTGAGGCGGTACAACCAGAGCTCTGTCCGCCAGGAGACCTGGCATAAAAACACCAGCTCTCTCCCCTGGGAAGGAGACTGAGTTCCTGAAGCCTCTTTCCTAGTCTGGCCAATGGCTGTCACTATTCCCTCCTGAGACCGATGGGATGAAGTGTGTGACAGGTGTGTGAAGCCTGGAAGCTTCGATGCTTCCCTGGGGTGCAGATATTACTGTCCCTCTTTAGTCTGGAAGCACTCCTGGAATAAATCCTCAGTTGCTACTTCAATACATGACATAGAACCTGAATTTTCCTTACATATGAACTCTCTTTATGCTAGAGGCACTAAACATCTCATCGATGATAATAAAACATATCTCCTCTCATTGGCATAAATGACAAGAACTCCCGCCACAGTTCTCTGCTTTGGGACAAAATGTCTTCAGTCCAATAGCTTATAAGGCAGACTTTTCCACAGCAACTACGGGAATCAATGTGGAACTAAGATGCCAAAAATGTTTATTTACCATGCCTGAAGGTGCAGGCTAAGAAATCAAGCCACTGCCCGCAGACATTAGAGACCCTGGAGGGGATGAAGAGGCAGCAGCTGTTCCTGGCTCCTCATGGCCCATCATCTGCTCCACCGCCAAGTTCTCAAAGTCTAGAGGATTCGGGGGGGTGGGGGAGGGATCTGGAGTCTGGTACTGCCGCTGGCCTTCCAAGTGACTATGTCCTCTCATCCTCAGCCCAGCATCAGCGGCGTGGATCTGGATAAGTTCCGGGAGATTCTGCTTCGCCATTGTGATGTCAACAAGGATGGAAAGATCCAGAAGTCTGAGCTGGCACTGTGTCTTGGGCTGAAAATAAACCCCTGATCCCTGAATGCTCTACTCTCTGCTTATGTGTCTGGGCTCTTGTGAGAAGTGTGCGCTTGACTCACACTTAGACCTAATCAGCAAACCTTTTCATTGATGCTGTGGTACTCTTGGGCAGAGGGGGGACCCTAGGGTGTTGTTTCCAGAGGCAGCCATGATTCAGTCCCATAGCAAGCCCCTATGCAGCCTCTTCTGTCTTCCCTCCTTGACCTGTCTCCTCCAGAGCCGCAGTTTACCTGCTGATTGTCTTTGCTCCACCTTCCCCTTCACCTGGTGGATAGGGGTAGCCCAACCAACTACCTTTTGTTTGTCCTTGAGCTTTCTGCTCAGTTGGATTGTTACCTGTGCTGTGCTGTCACTTCTACAAATCTGTCTTCACGTGGGAAAAAAATCTGTAGTCAAGAATAAAGATGTGTTTGAGTCATAAGCTTTGTGATGTCCTGATGGTTTGGTGGGAGCCTTAGCCGGGGGTGAGGGCCATCATCCTCAAGCAGCTTTTAGCTTCAGGAAGCTAGCAGCTGCCCAAAATCAATTTTTTTTTTAATTGGATGGGAAGAGCAGAGTGTTGTGGACCAATGGAACCAAATAGAAGACCTGGATATCAATCCATACACCTACAGACACCTGATTTTTGACAGAGAAGCAAAAAAATATAGAATGGAAAGATAAAAGCATATTTAACTTGCTTATTTACATTTTCACAGACACTTGACTGGCCTGAAGCTGCAGTTCCCTGAGGTTACTTTTTTGTAGCTTGGCTGTCAGGTCAGCCTAGGCTCCTACTGAAGCTGGGCAGGGTGGCTGGGCACAAGCCATGCTCCCTCTGCTGTTTGGCTGTCCTGCCTGGGTACTTGGGACCAGGTGGCCAGTCCCCGGCAGGAGGTGACTCATCCTAAAGAGGTACTTGTGTGAGTGGAGCCCCAGTGGAGCTATGGATCCCAGAGAATGAAGCTTTCCACTGGGGTCCAGGCGACAGAAAGGAAAGCCTGAAGCCCTGGTCCTAGCTCGAGGAGGGACTGGCTCCTGAGAGTCGACACACTGCTGATAACTTACCATAGGCAGATTTCCTTCTGCTCATCGTCTTTGTCAATTTCTGCTTCCTAATGAATTTTAAGAAGTGGCAGTTTATGAATGGAAGAGCCTCCTGTAACACTGGGGCAAAGGTAGATTGGGCCAAACAAATGAATTCAGTATTTTAAAAGTTCTTGGCTATTTCTAGCCTAAAGGGACCTGTGAAAGGAAGCAAAACAAACCAAAAACAATGTAAATGGGAAGAAAAATATCTGATCCTAGAATTAGGAGCCCTGGTTTAATTTTGAGCCCACTCTACACCGGTTCTATAATAATGGTACATCTCATTCATGTATACTCATGCAAATCTTTTAAAGGGCAATTTCTTCATTTTTTTTTTTAAACAGTGGTTCCATTGATGAAGCATCTGTTGCACAAGCACAGGGCCCTGAGTTTAGATCTCCAGCATCATAAAAGCCAGCCCAAGAGGCCCCTCCTATGATCCCCATGCTGGGGAGGTAGAGACAGGGGCATCTGTAGTGGCTGCTGGCCAGCCAACCTAGCTTAATGGGTGAGCTCCATGTAGAGTGAGAAACCATGTTCAAAAACTAAGGTGGGAGGGGTAGAGGAAGAAATGGGACATTGACCTCTGGCCTCCATGTGTACAGGCACCCACAAGTGCACACACACAGAAATGGTAAAGCATGGTGGTTAGCGGGAAGACAGCATTCTCTGCACACACACAGAAATGGTAAAGCACGGTGGTTAGCGGGAAGACAGCATTCTCTGCACACACACAGAAATGGTAAAGCACCGTGGTTAGCGGGAAGACAGCATTCTCTGCCAAGCTGATGTGTGAGCATTCCATAAATACCATGCTCTGCACAAACATCAGGTGAGACAGGGGCAGTGACAAGGAGAGTGGCTGGGATCTACTACCATCCTGCGCTTTTGCCCCATCCCTGCTTCCAAAACCCTAGGGTGTTCTCCCTTGCAGTTGCTAGTCTAGTAGTTCTTCACAGGGTTGAACATCAAACGTTCTTCTTAGCTATGAGGCATTACTGTATATGTCTGTGGTCACCTCAACTTATTTATTATTGAGGCACATTTCTTTTTCTTTTTCTTTTCTTTTTTTAAATTTTTGGTTTTTGGCTCAGAGGTTAAGAGCACATACTTATGTTCTACCAAAGAGTTCCATTCTCATCATCCACATCCAGTGCTTCATGCCAGCCTTTAACATCCAGAGAATCAGAGAAAGAGAGAGAGAGAGAGAGAGAGAGAGAGAGAACACTACAGAGAGACAGTGTTTCTCCGTAGCTGGTCTGGACTTCAAATCCCAGCAGGCATACACACTCCCCAGGGTATTTAAGTGATCCCCCAGAAGAGGAACACGTGGTCTCCCTTTATTTCTCCCGGGGGAGTTTCGTTCCCGAGGCTTACTGGTTCCCCCTTGGGGCCACCCAAGAGCGCAGATCTCTTATTAAACCTGGATATTTCTTAATCCGGCTTGTTTTGATTTGGCTTGATTGGGAATTTTTGCATCGGCAGGGAGCTTATATAAAGAAATATTCCTAACAACCACCACCACCATCATTAGCATCATCACCATAATCAACAGTAGCAGCAATATCAGCATTTCCAATATCGTCGGCATCCCTACATCACCAGCATCAGTATCATCATCACCAGCAGCAGCAGCACCACCACCACCACCATCATTAGCATCATCACCATAATCAACAGTAGCAGCAACATCAGCATTTCCAATATCGTCGGCATCCCTACATCACCAGCATCAGTATCATCATCACCAGCAGCAGCAGCAGCGCCACCACCATTATTAGCATCGCCACTATCATCACCAGTAGCATCAACAGCATTGCCATCATCAGCATCATTAGCATCAGCAGCATCAGCATCATCATCATAGTCACCACCATCAGCATCTATCAAAATATAACCCCCGCTTTAACCAAGCCATTAAAGAATCATTTTCCTTCTCTAGTCTGTGGAGTACAGATGGTAGAACAATTGAGCAATAGAATACTGAACACAAGGCCACCGGTGGGGAATCAGCTCTGTGTAAAGCCTCGCTTAGTAATGCTGTGTCATTTACAAATCTGTGCCACTCTGAGTCAGCACTGTTCACTTCAGCACGATTATAATAATCCTAGAGCAAATGTTAGCACCGTAATGTTGTTGCTTTGCAGAGGGATCATCTGAGAGCCGTTCTCGGCTGCCACATCAGGATCGCAGCGTTTGTGCAGCTCCAAATTACTCCAGAGATAGAAAAGGCAGCATTTGCTCAGTCATCAAAGAGGGCAGCCTGCAATTAGATTATACATGCTGTCGTCAGGGGGCTGGCAGGCCTACTTTACATGCTGGGGGAATGAGGATGACCTTTAACAGATGTAGGGTCTCAACAGGAAAACCCTGGAGCCTGGAGCAGATAATGAGCTACGTTTTGGAGCCAGCTGATTCGTGTTTTTTGTCTCTGTTTCATAAGTACCGGGTGGAGGGCTTCCAAATGTCATTCTTTGGATCTCTTCAAAGAGTCAAAAGAGCCAGATTACTGGTATTTGGTGATCCCAGATGTCACCTGAACCCACATTGTATGCTTTTGCTAGTCCCTTGACCATTTTTTGAATAACTGCTTTTTAAATTTTTTTTTGACCTGAGATTTTTATATCATACTTTATCTGGGTACACACACCTAACACAGGAATGGGTCAGAGAGAGAAATTCACCTACAGGTCGAGTCTACTTGTTATAATTAGCTGAATGTTTTCCTCTCCCACCCCAATCCTGCCCCTGCCAGCAAGCTAAAGAATGAACAAACTTGTTTATATGGAAGCATGGCCTTTGATTATCGCTATGTCTAAATTAAGAGGAATCTTACATGGTTCTCTATTGGATACAGATTTTATCTCTTGCATATTTACCACCCACTGTGAGATTCAGGGAACAGACAACTTTAGCTCAGGTTTATCTTACATGGGTCTGCTGTACCCTCCAGGTGGCTAAGGAACATTTGTGTGTGCCTTCTTCCTCATTCTCCTTCTCATAGCAAATGCTGGTGACCTCAAAGAAAACTTGGAAGCCATCTCTTCCTGAAGGCCAAGTGAGGCAGGGGTCTATTGAGAGATAGCATCGAACCAAAAGTCACAATATCCAGATCCTGGTTTTGTAAAGAACACTTTGAAGCAGTATTCAATCATACTGCTATATCCAAGTGCCACAACCTTGGTGAGTTCACCACCTGAATGTATGAATCTATGGCTGTGAGGGCTGGAGTGTAGGAGGGAGCATTGTCAGGACTGGCGGCCTGCAAGCTATGAGGACAGTTGCTCCAGGTGCCTCTCCTGGCCTTTTATGGTTTGCTGGTAATCTTTGGTTTGTAGAACAATCACCCAGTTTGTGTCTTCATTCATATGGCTTTCCTCCTGGATGTATGGTGGTCTGCTGGTCAGTATGCCTTCGTCTTATGTGTCACATCTGCATTTCTTCTATTTCCAGAGAAATTCACACTCTGAGGTACGAGACAAAAGGTCTTCAATGCATGAATTTTAAAAATCAATTAATTTTCTGTGGAAGGCATAGAGGTTAGAGAACAAACTAATGGGTCCCCTGTTTTTTTGTTTTTTTCGAGACAGGGTTTCTCTGTAGCTTGTGGTGCCTGTCCCGGAACTAGCTCTGTAGACCAGGCTGGCCTCGAACTCCCAGAGATCCACCTGCCTCTGCCTCCCGAGTGCTGGGATTAAAGGTGTGTGCCACCACCGCCCGGCTGGGTCCCCTGTTTTAAACTCGGGTTGCGAGCCTTGGTAGCAAGCGCCTTCACAGACTGAGCCATTCTACCTGCCCTCAACATGAATTTTGTGGGGCTACATAACCCATCACAGAGTCCTTGGGGAAGTCTGTCTCAGCGTCCTTACCTGGAAACAAGACAGGAACCCATAGAAGGCTAATGATGGGGGCCCGAGTTTATGTCCCTTAAGCAATGTTCTCCATTTTCATACACGTTGTTGCTGATGATAATTCTGTGCTGTTTAAATCTGGTCCTGAATGGTGCAGCCCACAGTCTGCTGCCAGCCTGCGGGAACAATCTGATACACAGCCTGTGGTCTCTGCAGTCTCCTCCCCATGTTTAAGTACACACACACACACACACACACACACACACACACACACACACACGTGTATTCATGTGTTTAGGAAAGAGAGAAATATTAAAGTCTGTGGAACTTGCTATGAATATACTGGCTCATGATGGATCCAAAATTTTAAAAGTAAATAAACCTGTCCCTTTCTGCAGGGAACTTTTTTAATCTCTACAATGCCATTTCATGTTAAAACTTAGGAGGCAATGTCATTCTGTGAGCTCATGAAAGGTGAATGACCCTAAGTGACACGGCATGA